TTCTGTCCCTCATTGGTGTGCTCTGGGACATCTTGTTTTTGGATGAGGTCCTCTGGAAGCACCGTCCATACAGACGCCTCTCTCCCTTCACATCTCTGGGGGTCACTTTCCTCCATTATTTCGGGGGAGACTCCTGCACACGGAAAGCCCCTCCCAGTGTACTGACTCCACCCAGAACCCCGGAGCTCTGCCCCCTCCAATTCACAGAGGTCATTGTGTAGCAGAAAGTCCCTTCCTCCTTCATACACATCGTGTCTTGTATGTTTGTGTACCTCCCCTCCCCCATTTCTGATGTTGGCTTTGACATTTGACTTGCTGCCTGTCCACTGACTGCGTGTCTCAATGCTTTTCTTCCAGCCGTGCAAGAGACTGCGAAAGGACGACGAGCCTCCCAGCAAATCTATCAAAAATTATTTTTCCCCCGTCTCCAAAAGCATAGAGAAGGTTCTGTCCTCCCCCAGATCCAGCAACATCGCTGACTACTTCATTAAAAACTCCCCAATTCTAGACAAGGAGCGTGCCGCCAGCAGCCCGGACCGCGGCCCTCGCCCCACCAAGAACGGCCAGCTGCCCACAACTCCACTTAGTGCCTCCGGCAGAGCCTCGGGCAGGCTCACCAAGCAAGTGAAGAGGACCAGATTGATCAAGAGACTTGGCGAGGCCGAGCCTGATGAGGGGAGTCCCAGTCCTCCTGCCGCAGAGTTCTCTGGAAATACTGGATTTATGGGAAGTGACACGGCTGCTTTACTGGCAGAGATCTGCAGCAGGGCCGAAGATCTAGATGATGACGAAGGGCCTAAACCTCCAGCCAAGCCAAGCCACCGAGCAACCAAAACAGGGCTGAGAAAAAGAAAGCAAGTGACCCCCAATGGACCTCCTATAGACCTGACTAAGCCAGCAGGTGAGCCTGTGGATCTCCAACCATCGCTGCCCTGTAATAGTGTTCTGTCCGATAGTAAGAGTACAGCGAGCGACTCAAGCCTTGAGGTCCACGTTGACCATGCGTCTCGAAGTCTTCTAACTATATCATATGAAGATTTCCTCAAAAGCCAAGCAGAAGAAGAAGACGACGACTCTGTAGCCTCAGGATCTGCTTCCCACGGAGCCTCTCTAGACAATCCAGCTTTACTAAATACCTCCAGTGACCCGGAGCCCGGCCAGCAGCCTTCCCCTAAAACTGTGACCTTTCAGGCGCAAGTCCACTTGTCTCCTCAGCTGCTGGGTTCCTGCTCGCCTACCAGAGCTCCAGCAAGGATGGCTTCCATATTCTGCAAGAAGAAGCTCGGGGAAGCAGAAAGGAAAGGTGATGGGGCTGTCTCTGGAAGTCCCAAAGGCGACCACGTGGTGGTCCAGAAAAGAAGATCCAACGTGGTTATAGAGGAAGAGGATCTGGAATTGGCAGTCATTGATGTGGAGACAATCGAACCGATGAAACCAAAGTCTACGGCTGCGGAAAGACAGCATTTCATGAAAGCTTTCCGGCAAGCTGGCGAGACGCCAAAAAACGCGGCAAAGAAGTCTGACGGGAAAAAGAAAGATGTTGACAGTGCCGAAGGGACTGACGGCCACAATAATCAGGAAGGTGGAGATGAGGCGCCAGACAACGATGAGGAGGACAATCCAGCTGAGGAGGAGCCAGTGAAGGCTCCGAAAACAAAGCGGCTGCTAAAGAAAACCAAAAATGTAGATTCAGAAGCTGAGAGAAGAGCCAAGCCCCAACCTCAATCACACGAGGCAGCCGAGCCACCACAGCAGAGTCCACCTCTTAGGAGAAGCGTGCGGAGACAGAGGTCTGACACTACCTCCAGATCACCATTACGGACTGCGTCTGAAAGCCCCCTACTAATGTCAACCCCGAAAGTGACAACTCCCAGCCACAATAGTGACCTCTACAAGGCCGAAGTGCTGACTGTACCCTCTGAAACAGAGTCCCCCATCAGGTAATTCTTTGGTCTCTCTTCTATCGGTTCTCTGTTCAGTGTAAGTGGGGGTCCTCATCAGATCACTGGAGATTTATGGGATATAAACACAGCTGTATGCAAGCATGACTAGTACTCTGTATGCATGTGACGTTTGCAGCGTTTACATATTGTGCTAAGGTGTTTTATTGGTTACTAGGACTCTCGTGCCACCTGCATCTTGGCAACCAAGGATGCCGGGTGGTTCGAGCTGCTTGCATCTTCTTAACCAAGGAAGCCAATCGCTTTAAGCCCCCTGCATCCTAGCAAACAAGGATGTTGGAGTGGTCAGGCTGCCTGCATCCTAGCAACAAAGAAAGCTAGGTGGCTTTAGTTGCCTCCATCTTGGTAACCAAGGATGGTGGACGACTTGAGATTCCTGCATCCTAGCAACAAAGGAAGCTAGGTGCCTCGAGATGCCTGCATCCTAGCAACCAAGAAATCTAGGTGCCTTGAGTGGCCCTTATTCTAGCATCGAGGGTGCCGGTGGCTCAAGCCACTTGCAATCTCGGAATGTGTTGCTTGGAAAGTGTTTGCTCGTTACACATATAAACATTTAAAGGAGAACTACGGGGTCAGGGCTTTCCCCATAGTTCTCCTTAGGGTAACGGGAGAACACAAACTAGCGTCCTCCCGTCACCCTAAGCTCAGTATATAGCGGGAGCTACAGCTCGCGGTATACTGAGACGCCGGAGCGGATCCCGGCATCGATGTCTGGATCCGCCCAGCTGCGTGAGTGACAGCTGGCTCTGCCTATCTAGAGGCAGAGCCAGCTGTACCCGCCCCCGTCCCTTCCGCCAGTCAGCGGGGAGGGGGGAATCCAGTCCCTCCCCTGTCACGGCTCTCTGCAGGGACAGGATCGAGAGGTGAGCGAACGCCAGTATGTGTTCCCTCACCTCCCGGTCTACTGAGCCGACCTGTGACAGTCTCATTGTCACACGTCGCCCCGAACTATGAGGTGAGTGAAAAGCCCCTTCCCCCCATAGCTCTCCTTTAACACAATGTTTGACAGAGTGCAATATATGGTCCGTGCGCTGGACCTTAGATGAAGAATTAGATGTTATGGATCTGAATGCAGCACATGTTTACTAGTCTTTATGCGCAGCATGCACGGGCCCCTACAATCCAATGCACCCGCCTTCAGTTATAAAGCTGTATTGGTAAAAACGCAGTGTTGTGTGTTACAGCCATGTACAGGAGTCCACACACGGCCTGATACAAGCTCACGCTCCATGTATATCTGTGGCCGGTGCTGGCAGTGCCCGTCTACCCTGAGTAATATACCCGTTTATGGTAGAACGCCGCCTCTGTCTGTCCCGGAC